TTTACAACTGCGCACATATCTATCCTGCCCTTCTTGTCGCACACCATTTATTTGGATGTGTCGAATCCCCGTTTTTTTTTTCGAGTTGTGCTTGTATTTTTTTATTGTCTTATCAACCGCTGCGTAATCGATTCAGATTTGTTTGTTCTCCTCGCACGAATTTACACTCATCTTGTTCCAAAGATATTGGTGCCTTGTTTCTTTAAGTTTTCTCTCCTCTCAGCGTAAACCTTGTGATGTGCGAAATAGGGGCAGCTGCCTGTGAGGTTTTGTGTAATCACCTGGAAAGCTTATTTGGTCATTCTCTTTTGTTGTCCATGGGAACTTGCACAACACAAGGCGTGTGTATTGTTTCCTTGTGTGGATCTCACTCCCTCAGAGTTCGCAGAATCACCACATATGAATAATGTTTGTATGCTGTGAACCTTGCCTGCTAAATGGCCCGCAGCTTTTTCTTCATATTGGGACTCATCAGTAGCGCATGGTGTTGTTTCTCTCTGTAGGGACTAGGGTCGCAAACCTATAGATCTACCGTCAACATCTTAAACACATGGGTACGTGGATTAAACCGATTCTTACGTTTGGATTTTCTTGAAAAACAAGCAAACAAGAGAATGCCTAATTCATCAAGCCAACGGCTCAAATTGTTGGCTCAGAAATAAAGATTTCAACTCTCAACTCGCAGGTTTGGGGTCCGGGTTCTGTCGGAGATACAAAACAATGCACTGTTCTTATTTGTCCCAAAAAGGTTGTTAGTTCAAATGTTTGTGCGATTCTTACGTCAAATATTCTCAAAAGCCGATACTTAAATGATAACAATAATCAGGTTCCCCTTGTTTTCATACTTTGCCCAAGTATCAGCGTTTTTTATCATCTGGATTTTGCTGCGGATATACTCCCTAAAACAGTCACACCAGTTTCCCAACCGGCCGACAGCTCTATTGTGCGCTGGCATTTTTTTAAGGTTATTATGATTTAAATTAGCTTCCCAATCAGGTCATTCACTTGACATTTTCCCTTCTCGTCCCCTTCACAAAATGTGCACCATATGTTTTTGTTTACTCTCAGTCTCCGTCAGGTGGACGTGGCATTTATGCGACGTTTGCAACACAAAGTGAACATCGTTCCCATCATCGCCAAAGCCGATGCACTGACTGCGTCTGAATTGCGTGCGTTCAAGGAGCGCATCATGTCCGATTTTGACCGGTATAAGATCGACATTTATCGTCTTCCCGAGTGCGACAGCGACGAGGAAGAAGAGATCAAACGCTTAGACAAGGAAATCAAAGTCAGTTTTTTCATTCAGGATATCTGTCACAATCAGTTGATGTTGGTTTTTTAACAATGTGAAAATTGTGTAACCAGTGGAACACTTCAGAGAATCGAATTTGTAACGGAAGAAATCGACTGCGCTATGTTCCAACTGATCTGTACGATAGGAATCTTTTTGATCAAGCATGTAATCTATTGCCTTTTTAGATATATTGTAGCTCCCAAGGTTTTCAATTTCGTTCAATTTTTATCGGGCTCTCGGTGCTTACGGACTCCAGCTCCTAGATTGCAGCCATTGCAGCCATTGAAAGAATAGTTAATGAATCACCGTATTCCCCTCGATCGAGAACTTTGAGGCCTCATGTGACGTTTGTCGAGGCACGTAAGAGGTAACCTAGGGTCAAGAGTGGTCGCAATAATATTTGCCACGAGAGCCAGAAAATCTTTACCTGAGGATATAATCATATTGGTTACGTTAGGTTTCCTGGTTGGGGCCAGCCTAATCAACGGTCACAGATTGAATTTCATCAACAGTAGTGCTCGTACATCTACCCAGTTTCTGTACACGTTCAGCTTGCCTGTATTATATATATGTACCTTTGTCTCGGTACTGCCTTCAGATTTTTCCCTCGGATTCACTTTACTGTTCCACCAAGAAGGGGACCGAAAGATGTCCAATAAAACCCTCGCCCAACGGTATAATGTTAATGTCTGTGTAAATTAGAAGCTAAACTAGTCATTCACTTATTATCTAGTTACGTAATCTCTGTCGACCAATTCTTGGTCATTCCCTAGCATACACAAACGCACACGCATCACCATATTTTTATGACCACTGTCCTATTTGGTCATTTTGGCTTATATCTGTCATTTTATCTCATGTTCCGTTAACTGCGAAATGAATTGGAGATAATGACTCACAGGAGGAAACCAAACTTTCCACCTCTGCGCGTTAAAATTTCAGCAAAAGCGATGATCAGAATCACTGCGGCAATTTTCCCGATTACTTTTATTACTTCTCCCCTCCCCATATTGTCCATTTGGTCCTTCAGAGCGTGTTACCGTTCGCGGTGATCGGAAGTAATTGCGTGGTTGACTTCGAAGGTCGTCGTGCTCGTGGCCGACAGTATCCGTGGGGTGTGGTCGAAGTGGAAAACACAAAACATTGCGATTTCACCAAATTACGGGTGTTCCTTTTGAAGTTAGTTCAAGCTTTCGTGAAATATCTATGCGTTTTGGGAATCACCACAGTTTGTTTATCTCGTTCAGTCAATTGCCGTCTGTTGGAAATTATTGTACATTCACGTGATCTCGTTGGTCCTATTAAATAGCCGACGGGGCTGATTATTCATCACAAAATCCGGTCATAGCTACCAACGCCCGGTATTTCTACGCAGAAAAAGAAAACGGTAGTATTTTCATTAACATTCACAATCAATTGTATCGATTGAATTGAACGTCATCTTGAGAGCAACCGTTATCAAAATTAAAGTTGAAACTGTTTCATCGGTGCTAACATTATTTTAGTGCTGGAGTTCTGAATTTTATTTTATTTTTAATTGACCATCACTGTCATTGCGGGTACATGACTCTTCTTCGAAACCGGTCTGTGCCTCTTCTGGTTGCTATCGTATGCCCCTCATGGGTTTCGATAAAGATGAACGCATGCAAGAGGCATTTTCATAACTGGAAGTCAGGCCACTAGGGCTGACGCATAACAGCCTGTATAACAGGAGTAAAACAACCTGAAGCTTGCAATTTCTCCTGTTGTTTTTGAAGTTATGCGACGGTGGTCTTGTATAAACTGATGGTCAGTTGTTTTCTCCCTACTGCTTCTCCTTCTGTTCTCTTTTTCTCTGTTTGTTTTAGTTTATCAGTACCTCGTACAAGCACATAAATTTTTTTATTACACACGAGGGAAGCCCCATAGTCACGAGGACCTGCTGTTCTGTGGTGCAAACCGGTAACCTAATCCCCGGGACTTGGAGTGGCGAACCACATAAGGCCCTGATAGGTTAGGTGTAGCATTGGTCCGGGCGACAGCAAAGCTACCTGCCACTAAAGTTGGGTGGTGGTGGTGGGGCTCGAACCTCGGACCATAGGATTCAAAGCACGCCTGTAATAGCGATTAAACCACTGCGCCGCCACCACGAACACAAGGCGTTCTTCAACCAGAAGTGATCATTTCATGACGATGTTTTAATTCATGATTGTTCCACTTGTGATCACATGCGATGTGTTTCGATCGCGGAAGAAATTCATCATCTTCCGATACTACGTTCAAATTTTGCTCACTGTAGAAAGCCACAAAACTAAACTGTTCATCGAGAAACGGTTTTTCACTGTGATATAATATCAACGTGGTTTTTTTACTCCTTATACCGTGTTGTATTGATGAGCACCGTTACTAAATTAACATCATAACATATATGAAGCAAGCAAATCCACCACACCCAGTTCTTATCAAAGTTCTTAGCAAAACAAACACCTGAATACACAGGTCGTAGGTACAATGAATATTTTCTCAACCGAGTAAATGAAACAATCTGATGAGGTAGGGAACAGTGTACAATTATCGTACAATTGCTAGTTCCCATTAAAAGTGAAATCTTTTGACCCAACTGAAGATTGAAATCAAAAACTCACTGGTGAAAGTCAGGTTCATGGTGTTTCTGACCGAATGAGATGAGATATCCACAACAAGCTTGCATGGATGGGTTATACTGCGTATAGCATAATCAGGATGAGACAATCCAATCAGTTGCCCGTTGATCAAATAGGCAGCAAGCTTGTATTGCACCTCCAAGGCCCCAAGTTTGATTCTCCCATAAGCTACTGGATTCTTACCAGATGGAATACAACATGCGATCGAATAGGTGAATCACAACATAGTGCCATTTGTTTCTCTAATGCTCATTTAGCGTTTTGGCAACTTTGGTATGTTCTCCTTTGCAACTGTCATCTATTTGAAGATTGCCAACCCAAATGGAACTTTTAACGTACACCACCAGTCAATCGATGTAACTTGATGGCATCTACTCAATTTCCCTGTAACCTTAGTCTACCTGAATTCTCGATTTTCACATTGACACTGCTCTTATCGCTTTGAGAAAACATTCAGGTGTGCTCTAAATCAATCATTGGGTTCGATGAATCAGTATCTTTTCAAACTTGATCGTTGGGCGCATTCGCTAACATGTATCTGAAATTAATGAAAGCGATGCGATGGCAACAATTATTGAGCGCAAAAGAAGTTGAGTGCACGTCTGAGGAAATTCTGGACGTTATCCTCAATGTTCCAGTTTGACAAGAAGTCCTGACCTGGCCTATCTTGCCACTTGAACACGACTACTAGAGCTATTTCCTAGGACGAAAACGCGTCCACTCATCACTCCCTATCTTGCCCGATTTTCTTGTTTTATCATGGTTTCCGATCTTGATCTAATCGAACATTTGGTAAATCAGAAACGACAGTACCAATCTGTCGGGATGACTGTCTCAATGGTGGAATGGGATATGATACCATCAGATGGTTAACCCGTCAAGTAAATGCTCTTATATCATTGCAGTTGGGGGTGGGTGGTGTTGTTCAACCTTGAATGCAACACGGTAACTACTCGAAACGTATGCAAGCGAACGAAATTTCCCTTCAGCCATCGGCGTCAGGAGTGAATGAGCTCTAGGTGTAGCAATCTATTTGAATGCTTTTAATGAAACATGAACTTAAATTGCACTGTCGGCAAGTCGCCCCCCTCCACGGGGTATCCTTGTAAAACACTGTAGCCGTTCTCCCAACAGTACACCTAATCCGAATTCACTGGGTTTCATCGTCATCCCGGTTTCACTTGACTATTGATTTTGCTACGGATTCCTTTTATACCTGAGTACTTGTTATGCCATCACAAACATCAGAAATGTCTGTGCAATACGTTTTTATTTTATCACTTTTGTAGCAATAAGTAGGCAGCGGTTTGATTTGAGCCTCCTGACGCGTCTATGTCCAATGTCTATCTTTTCCATGCTTGTTACTGGTCTGCTGCAAGAAACTGCGCATGATATTCACCGAGTTGACTCAGAGTTGACTCATTTTGTCCTCTTACACCTAACTGTAAGAGTTAGACGCGCCACTTACATCGCCAATAAGTGATAGTTCTGACGGGGACCCACTTACTTTCGCTTCCGCCTGGGATTGATTACTTGGTGTAACGGTGTTTCTAATGGATTTCTAATGCTTCTGGAATGATAAGTTACTATACGCAGGGATTCAATGACAAACTTGATTTATAATTAGTACATGAATGACTAAAAAATTCCCCTGGAAGCACAGGACCGGTTTTGCGGTCCTTGCCGCTCGTCAGGCATGCGTATCCGGTAGTATCTTGTCTTTTAATTCTTATACATGTACCCAGGAAGTGTATTTTCCAGGGAAATTTTATCCAATCATTCATGTATTACTTACTAATTCCAGACACTGTTTAATTCAAGGAGGTATGTCAGCAGCAGTGAAGCAAACCAATTTGGGGGAAGACTGGTTCACAGTTTTCACCTATGCAACGCCTCGGTCATTTGTGCGCACCGCGACGGGACATTGGGAATTCGATCACTTCAGGCAATCCTCTAACTTATCGAATGATGAATAGGATAACAATGCTGGTGCTCCGATTCACTTTCGGCACTCTCTCTCTCAGCGCTCCTGGGCGATTGTAAAGGAGACCAATACAAAATACCAAATGAATGACACGATGTAGGCAAATTGAATCCTATTGTGTTGTGAGTGCATGTGGACGTTTGCGTGCGAGCTCGTTGTGCTACCCGATCGGCTGCCCAATCGGATTGCGTAGATTACCTTCAGTAGATATCCGCATCCATAATTCTGTCACGGGTTGTTCTATCTTCCTGCTATCAAACTTAAAGTTTCGTCTGGAATGACAACCAGTTTGCATTTGTGCGATAAGCTTGCTTGTGCCGTTCCTATCATGTAGCTAATCAGCCCACGATATATTTTTCTGGTTGGAACGCGAAATTCACTGCATGAAATTAATCTAATAGACACTGATGGAACTACAAGTTTCTACTTAATATACGGGAAAATAGAAGTTTAAAAGGAAACTCCGCAGAGCGAAACTCTAAAAATGTTCTGAGAGTAACACCAAATCAGAAACAGTTTTGGATGCGATGGATTACTGCCATGGGCAGGGAAGCGTGAGGAAAAGCATAAAGAGCATTTTATTTTCATAATGACTTTCACGGAGAATTGGAGAAAGAAACGGGACGTGTAGTAGTCATGATAGACACCGGTTTGAACATCTAATGATATATCAGAGCTTTGTCTATGTGCACTCCTTTTTCAACGTTTTTGTGTCGAGTTTTCCTTTTTATGATTCGCTCTTCACTGTTTGCTTGAGATCTGTTGCATCTGTCTGTTTCCTTTCCTTTTAGAACACACATGCAAGATTTGAAAGACATGACTCTGGATGTGCACTACGAGAACTATCGCGCCAAGTATATTACCGAACGTATGTCAAAACGACAGACTGATCGACGCGAAGGAGGAGGATCGTAAGTTTTCTTTACCATTCCGGTGTTCCTGATGTCGCCGTTTTTCCTTGTGTGGATCAGTTTAATTTTTACAACTTACATGTGAGACACTTGATGCAAACTAGCCCGTAGTATTGCTTTCATTTTTTCTCAGGTAAGTGTAACTTAATGATCTATTCTAGGTTAGATTGGCGAAATAGATCACGATTTTGGTTGCAAGGTTAATGCGTACCAACGGTGAGCTAAACACAACTGGGTTTTGTTACATGGACGATCAAGCGTCTCAAATGGTCAATCCCGTGGAAGCCGTGCGCACTGCCTTCACCTGGTCGAGGTGTCGTCCTGCTAAAGTGAGTGGACAAAGGGTCAACATCCCGAACTAAAGCCGATTGGATGAGCCACTGACAGTTCACCCAAGGAATTTGACTGATTGCAAATGAAGTCGAGACCTACGCATCACGTCCATACGCTCCTGGTTGCAATTTGGAGGTGCAGTGATGTTACAAGACGGAATATCGACAACCCGGTTATGATGCCTAATAATCAGAAATAAATTACAGTGGATTGCTTCTCCTACTTATGTAGTTGCGTGACAAAATGTGGTAGCATCGAAAAGGGTTCGCTGCCAGCATTTTCAAGGGCACATGCAACATACGCAAGACTGAAACACTTCCACTGCTGATGCGATGTTTCCTGGAAAGGTTGCGTGTTCTGCGTCGCCATGCAATCACTTCTGCTTTAAGATTGTAAGACTCTAAATTTGCACTCAGAAGGTACTGATCCTGTCGAATTCTTCAATGGTTGATTTTTATGTAATTTAGCGCAGTTCGGATGGATCGAACGTTTAAGAAAGGTTGTGGTCAGCTGACGAGTATTTGGTGATGATCTGAGGTGGAGAATTCGTTATCGCATCCAATTCAGATTGGCAGGCTCCTCTAGTTATTACACTTATTGCGTATGTCTAACAGTCGTTTACCACAGCGCACTTAATCTGTTGCTGCTATTCCAGGTTGGAGGAAATCACGTTGTGGTCAACGGATAGCGTGGAAATGGAACATCAAAAAAATGTCCAGAGCCATTAAGCAGGATAAATGTCTCTTGTCTTCCCGATTGGGGTGCATATGACTGTAACTGCTTTATTGGAGTCACTGAAGGATGCGACAACAATCGACAGCTGTGGCGTTTTTGTTATTACTTCTTATCAGGCTAAAATCATGAAGAGGCGTGCATGCCCAGTTAGGTTGCTCACTTCCCCCTCCCCTCAAAAATAGATCCCATCTCTGCCCACCTTGCACATTCTCACTTTTTATACGTTGTTAACTTGGGTTTGGCGATCTTTTTCCAATAGTAAACTGATTTTAAAATATGCCCGTACTTGTAATTAGGACAGTTTCAGGCGACCACTTGTTTTCTATGATTCATAAGCATGCCGTTACATCTTATATGGAAGGATAAAACTTAGGGTTTGGAGGTTAACATTTAATTCTGAGGAACAAATCACTGTGTTGCACATCACCTCGTCAGTTCTGTGCTTCCGGGATAATCAGTTGAATTGCGTTGGTCCGTTGATCCAGTTCTAGAGGATCGGTTTTTATTATTTGAATATGTGTGTGTATGGGCAGGGGAGAATAGGTGAGTTCGTGAACCCAGGACAGATGGAGAGCTTGGATTGGACGCTTCTGGAAACAGTTGAACTCAAGTGTTTAATACAAATGGCTTCAATCATGGCTAACGTAAACATTCTAACATATTTAGGCCGGTTCGGGGGGAACCTCGTAAACGATGCGGAATTCTTCACTTAACACGATGACCAGTGTCCACCAATTGGTCGAAAATCCTACTTGACATAGATTCTGAACCACCCTGACTTAGCCAGCGCGGATGGTGTTCTTTCATACGGATAGCTAACTGTAGTGTCCGACGACCGATGTAGAGTGCGTCACAACCGCATCTGAACGAGTAAACAATCATTGAAGCGGTCAGAATCGATAGTTTACGTTTTAATGCAACGGAACTGATTTTGATAACCGACAAAGAGCACTGCACAGCTGCTTCGTCCTGTTTGGGACTCTTCATCAGTGCGGACTTTTTTGTGTCTCTGTCAAGCCTCGAACAGCGAACCTTTGGGTTGGGACTTCAAACGCTTACCACTGAGCTACACGGTCGATGGTTATCACCGTGTGCGAATGGCTCAATCAGTTTTTAGAGTATCAAGCTAGGATTAGCCCATTCGATTGTTCAGAGGCACGCAATAAAGTGCATTCAACTAGTGGGAAATTAACGATCTCCCAAGGAGTGTAACCCACACCCAAGACGATCAAGAGTACCCGGTGCCTCTGAACAATCGAATGGGGCAATCCAAGCTTGATACTCAAAAATCGATAGTTTGTCTCTATTCCGTATCAGTTATCAGCCTCGAGCTTTTGAAAGGGCTGCGTAGGTGCACGGCATTGAATGTGGCTTTTACCGCTCCATTCAGTGGCAACTTCGCCCTCCAAGAGAAGTCTAACGACCAGGTACTCCTTTTCCACCCTATCAATGTGTACCTCTGGCACTTGTTCCATCATATTTAGCTGAATGAAACAGTCTGGGTAGCCATTGCTTCTGAGCAGGTTTGGGATAGACATCAATTCAGCTTCCAACATTTCTTGTTTACAGATTCTCCGGAAGTACAGAACTGACAAGGTGATGGGTCACACACGTACACATAGTATTTTATCCCTCAGATTTGAATGTTATCCTCTCGTGTAAAGTATAATAGCATGATTATGAATTATTGAAAACAACTGTTCGTCTTAAACTGTTCTAAATAAACTGATTGCTTTTTCAAGGTTTTCATTAGTGAACTGATTTTGCATTTGGATGCTCCGATTCGTAATGTGGGTCACTCAAAATACTCCAAACTATTCAACGTTCTTTTTGAAGCTATTCAACTGTTTCCAGAACCCAGTTTTGTTTGACTTAACTTATTTTCTCTTCCAATCGTGTCGGGTTTCGCTACGTTATCAACTGATTCTATTTTTTTTCAATTTCCTAATGTTCATTTTGACCGTTCATATTTATTGCTAACACATGAAGTTTTGCCTTGCTGCACCCCTACCCTCTACGCGCGACAGGCGAATGGATCGCGAAAACGGTCCCGGATTCGAAGCGATTGTGGATCACGATAGTTTGTTGAAACAAAAAGAGGAAGAGGTAAGCTCTCCTGCCAAAATCCATTGTCGGTAGAATGCCGTACAGTTGACCTTCGGTGCACGACTCACTTGTGTGTGATTTCCTTGCCCATAGTTGTCGGTTGCCTTTCATTGACTCCTGTATAGCCGTGTGCATGGTGGATGTTCGTGTGACACAGTAGCAATGGAAATCTGATGGTACTGCATACTATACGGTAGCAGTAATGGTAATACTCGCACTAGTCGTAGTCATTTATTGAACGCGCTTGTTAGGTGTCATTGTATACAAAATAGTTCCGTTTATACCCGTGCCCTGCACCAATGACATACCGCGGTTTGGACGAGTAAAACGAGGTTGACTGTGACGCGGAAGTCAAACTCTGATGTTGCATGTCATTTGCACGTCCCAGTGGAGTTCGTCTGACTGTTCCCGTCTATTTACTTAACGATCTGTCCCCGTTCATCCGGATCCATTTTTTGTCTTTTTCCTCTGTTTATTCTTGTTATTCCATCTGACGATACAACAAGTGCGCTGTCCACGAACCTAACAGTAAGTACTGAAATATTTTATTTTTCAGCTAACTTGATTAACAGTCTCACAGTCCTTTCATTTCTCTTAGCAAATTCTCATGCCACGGCCAGTCATTACCATTGAGTGACTCATACATGCGTCTTGCTGTCTCCAGTCTCTCGTATGGGTTTCTGACCACTCCAAAACTAACCCTAACGAACTGCGTTTTCCCGCGCTTTGCCTCAGCCCCAATTCTGTTAAACATAGCAATATAGTGCCAATTCGGTGCACATGATCAGACTCTCTGTTTTCATCTAGTGCCTCGTAACTTGTGATGTATCTATCTGTTCTACGTGCCACAATTCATTTATGAATTCCATCAATTTCCCGTGAGTATTCATCGGAATTCATTTTCACACACGATTACCATGTCATGCGCTCAAACCTGAATTTTTCTGGTTAGTCTTTTTATCAATCCCTTATCTAGCTAGTATCCTAAAAATCAAATGTATAGCCGAGAATTCAGTCTGTTTAAGTCGATTGATATTCACCTCGTTCCCTCAAAACAATGTCATGGTCATCTTAACATGCAAAGACACTATAGTAGTTTTATCATAAAAGGGCATGGTCGGGTGATGTGAAACGGTCTGAATGATTTGGTTTCTTCATGGAATGGTATACATCATCCAGGGTCATTATACCATTGAGCCTTGGAAGCACGCACAGTACTGATCAGTGGTACATATCCACCGAATCCATCAATGTTTGAGTCCGGAAACAAGGGACTTGTTATTCTGACGTACTCATCACTGGGGTAATCTGGATTGGCTCTTGTCAGCTTTCTACACGTCAACCCCCGAATGGTATAGCTCTCATCGGTTTCATCGGTGTTCATCAGACGATCACTGACTGTCTAGTGCACCCCATCTCACCAGGTTCCTAATACGATTGAGCTGGAAATTTACATCTGAATGTGAATTTGCCTATGTAGAACGGATTGTAGGGACGGTTAGTTATTACGTCGTATGAACGGCCCCTCGTGCCTGGAGTTTCACAGATTCCGTGGATGTGTACTGCTAATGACTCCTAACAGCAATGAAGCAGATGTACAGCAAGTGCTTTGGAGGCCATACAGTGGTGAGTAGTGATACATTGAGTCTGCATAGTGAATCACTTGCATGGGGTAAGGCTACTTCAGGTAAAGTTTTTTTGTCACAAACTTCATCGAGTCTATCGATTGCACAGCGATGCTGAAAACGAGAAGAAAAACAGGGATTTCAACTAAGGAATCACACAAATTGCCCCAAAATAAACTAAACTCCACGTGGTGAATGTTTCAGTCATGCGCGCGATCGCGATGATCGTACCATTTCCCTTTTGTGGTCATCATAGTTCTGCGATGGATAAATCATCTGAATGATTTAGCTAACCGAAACTCGATGTACCAGGCTTTTCGATACTTCCTATATGTTTTTCACTTCCCTTAAATTTCTCGTTAACTAAGCGCCCAAGAAGTCGAATGACCGCTTGATGGGCTGTTAGTTTATACTTTTGAGGTGGGTTGAAGTTTTCAATTGATGACGTCCATTAACATCAGTTGTACAACATGCGTTTGGGATGATCTCTGACTCTATTGTCTCATAGACCAGACACTCGTCACCGACGTTGATAGTGTGTATCCTCTATGAGAGTTGTATCATACGTGACCACCGCTCATTGGCAATGATCTGTTTGCCACAACCGATTGCAGCTTATTGGCACTTGAGTTCTCCTCGAAAGACGCGTTCAATAACGAATGGATCTACCTATTTCTCAGTCCGACCGATGCTCAAGACTATCGTGTATTATCGTTTCTCGGTTTTCCTTTCCCCAGTTAATAACGAGCATCATCATGTTTACTGTATCTTCACTCATGTAAAACCAGGACACTCTTAAATGAGGTTCAAGGATGGCTGGTGTGGTGGACAGACCAGTTCATTCACCACTCTACTGAATGTGGCACTTTCAAGACCTATCCGAACAGCAATCAGTTTCTTGTAAACATCCTGCATCGGCTGCACCTTTTTCTGTCCCACGCCACTTACTTTCTTAGCTGTCGAAGTAAGTTCTCCGATCGTCTCCGAAAGTGCTCCGCGCGACGATACGTCATCATCTCACACCAGATCGCGCACTAGTTTGCCACGTACTGCGCTTGCACAGCTGGTTAACATGTTTTCGTGCATTTTCTGTCCATTCGGTGAGTATTATCTTGCATTTGCAACTTGTGGACGATGATCGGGGAAATTTTCGGGGCGGTCCAAAAACTCAATTCATATTACTTTTAAGCTATACATATATGGTCATTTCTCCATCCCCGGGTTTGATTTGTTTTCTCTGCGACGACACTCCATAGGCTGACTCATGTAAATCTCTTCGCGATGCCCACAAAAAGAAGTTATCACCTACTGTTTACGGTTATAGTTAAAAAAACGAAAACCCACTTTTCGATCGTTTAACCGGGAATCATTTACTCAGTTGCATTCACACTTTTCAACTCCTCTCCCTTTTTTGCTGTTATCAGTACGGTTTGGCTCGTTTTTTTAACTAATTGATTCTTTTCTTGATCACTTAAGTGCGCTTTCGCGTTTCTATCACGTGTATCTCAGTGACCAAATTAAATTGATCCTTTCATACCAATTCGCTCATACGTTCGTTTGGGTCTCACCCACATGAAACTAGTTCGGGTTTTTCTTTACTTGAGACAGATCGTCGGTTACCGTAAACATTAGTTCGGTCAAAGTTGTCTGCTCGTCTTCACCGTAGTGTGCTTTTATCTGCGCAGATACACCAAACAAGGGGGTTCAACGGTGTTCGCAGTTGCTTTTTATTGTAGAAAATGGGAACCGTCTCGGATGTTATTGAAGGAATATCTTGACGCTCCATTATTGGAATTGCATTCATGTTTATTTTCTCTTGGATATTCTGAACAGCCTAAGCATGTGAAACAAATGCGAACGCCACAATCCTCCTGGGTCGTAATTGATTGTGCTCGTTTACATGCGGTTCTTTCCATGGTTTTTGTTCTAACAGTTTGCGAGGCCTATAAAATGGCACTTTTGTTGAGTCCAATATGACAGATGGTTCACCGTTTGCCGTCTTCTCTCTNGCAAATGATGAATAAAATGCAAGAACAAATCAAAAGAACCATGCCCATCTCTACTCTTGCGAGCGCTACTACTAATACGGCCGCTGCATCAGGTCTATCTGCCGCGACCGGTGGCATCACCACAAACACCACTTCTGCGCAGTCTGCTCAACCGATTGTGACTGGTGCAAGCGGTGGTCTAAATCACGCGTAACATTTTATCCAACTAACGGACCCCCTGTCCGTCACTCTACCTGCACCACCACAACCACTGTTAAAACCACGTGAGGGACAACCGGATGCGCTATCCTGCTGTGCATAGCATCTGTTTCGAATACTGATTTCATTTCGTTCTATTTCCCGACTTCCCGCTAAGTTTTCCTTTTTTTGATACGTCACCCGTTTTCTCGCCTCGGTTCCGCGTGGGTCGATCTGTGACACTGATGGTTTTGTTGCTTTTCGAGATCTCCGACGACTCTGTTCCGTTTCTCCTTCCTTTCCACAATCAGCTACAAATCGTTTTTCGATTCACTCAAAACCTTTCTTTTTCGCGCTCACTTCTGCCTCTCAAGAATGGACACACTGGGTTTCTTTAGAACCGCGTGCTGACAATCTGGCCGAAAGTTTATTGTCTCCCACTTTGTTTTCATTATTTTCTTTTTGCAATTCTGACGCGTTATCCTTGCCGCAGAGTTTTTTCGCTTTGATTGGTTAGTCAACCTTTTTTAATCCAAAACTAGTTATGTATGTTTCTGTTCGCTCTCCCTTTGTCTGTCGCACGCACTCGAAGTGCCACAGATATCTCACACGTTGCCGGTTTACCAGTCCCGTGTACTTGTCGCATTTTCGTTTTCATTCATATGTGCTATCGCTGTCAAGGTTATGAATTGCTACTCTTCACCCCTCCCCCTCATCTGCCCTCACTGGTTTTCACAGTTTGTACAAACCGGTCGTATGCTCATATGTGGTGTGTGAGACACGCGGATTAGCTGACTACATTTTCATTTCGCCCTGCGTTATCCCATCGCCAACCCACCCCGGTCTAAAACTGTTCTTTTCCGCGTGAGCTTTGGCTAATTTGCGGTTCGACAATCCCTCCATTGTCTTCGTGGACTGTTGTTACTGTGTATTTCAGTCGCAGTGACCTGTTAGGCTTCTCTCTCTCTGTGTGTGTGTTCTGTTGTCTCTTATTCGTTCACTCGTATTGTTTTTTGTTTTTTATTTTTATTCTCATGCTCCTCTCCGTTCGTGTTTCTCTTTGTGCGCGCTCACATTTCGCGCGGACAATCGCTACCAGTGCTTGCGTTTTTCGCACTCGCGTTTTTTTGCAACTGCATTTCCTACTCGGCAATCCGATAAACTTGTATCGCTTATGACACTATTCAAACGGTTTTTTGGCTTGCTACTGGGTTGGATTGCCAGAAGATGCAGATAATCATCAGGTGCGCATCTGAAGATAGGTAGTCTGTAGACGACTGCGCGGCTACCAGCTGAGCTATATATTTTCTAATTTCGCACCTAAGCACGAATTACTTTTTTGTGCCACCCTGCGTGATACAAACTCGCTAATTAAATTATCAGGTATCTGCATCACACACCGGTACTCGTCATGTTCTGAGCTGATTTTTTTTAAAGTTCTGTGTTGAGCCAATACGCGACATTCGTTTAGTTGTAAGCATAACTTTCACGGGCACGTGTATCTGTGTTAACCCATGTTCGATAATCTCTGCCAATCATCTTGCCTGCCACCTCATTTTTTTCTACTTGGACATTGCATAGGTCGTTTTGCACAGGCTGCGATGAGATGGCTCAACAGCACGCCGATGATCTTGATTCTGGAGACTGGCCTTTTCATATTGTGCAATTGTCAGTTGACCAATGCGGTACACTAAACCTGTGTACAGTCCCGTTCACTTAGAAAAGAGGAATGCCAGGCTGCAGGGGATCTCGATCTAATTTGTTCAAGAATCTTCGTTGTTTCGCATCGCTTATGTTCGGTTTGCGTATTTGGGTTTTGTAACGCGCTGTTTGTATGCCAAGATTACTTTTCCACCGTAAGTCTTATTGTACCATATTGGATTAAATAAGCTTAATGCCAACGCAACAACAAGAATAACAGAACATGAGTTGCAAGCAGATGAAATCCAGTTACTAATTTGTATTTCAGTGCGCTCTCCTACACGAAAACAACTTAAACTAACAAATTGTGTTGGTTTAACGTAACCAGTGTTTCGTTTCCTGATTCTAGTCGGCACCGCGTTAAGAGATCCGTTCATCATCTGATGCAAGCGTTCCAACTCGCATTCCGGTTTGATTGGTTCAAACCTGCTTATGTATTTGTTGTTGCCCACAGAAGTAACCTCGCTTTATTGTGGTACAATTTCCTAACAGCTTATATCTCCACATGATTAACCCTGTTGGTCTACAATTGATGGGCTGCATGTGTTCATGCCACGGATACTGATTCCAGTCACCATTACATGATAAATCAGCGTGAAGCCGAATGCGCGCAGTTGAGCAAGCCATATCCCGTGTGATTAGCATATTCCGTTAACTGGATGCATTCACTAACAACAAAACGGCGATCATGTGAACGGACAAACTGCATTCCGTATGCGTCACGCACTGTTTGAAGTTTCGATTGAGCTCGTCTGTGTACCTATGTTCATATGCGCGAACGAAGAACAGTATTTAGGTCATCCGAACTCATAGTTTAACCACATTGACCTAACCTGCAACACGCTGAAGGATGTACCAGAGATTTTTATCTCAATATTACCATTCCTTTATGTTAGACCGCGCTTGCAGTTCTTTTCCGTCCGAGTTAATCACGGAGAACGATTTCTCTCTCTCTATTGAACATCATAACGTTTATTAGTTTGAAAAAGCCCTATCCTCTTGTGAGGATAGCGGCATCGGCGTAGCAGGCTGTCTGGTCTGCAGTATGCGACGGACGGCATTGTAGAGACAAGGAAATATCCGGGTAAGTCACAATCTTCTCTGAATGGGTCGAGTGTTATTGCAGCCATGCTCGACATGCGTTTTACCCTGTCGAAGTGCAAAATGTTGCTACAGAACTGGTTTGGCTCAGTCCCCAATATCTCTACGTGGAGAGGTGTTAGAGAAAGAAAATAAATTTTTCGATTTGGGCGGTCGCATTTCACCTAGTGGATGCAGCACAGATGAAGTTTCAGCCCAGGTACAGAACACTCTGGTGATATCTGTATTTTCTGCTTTTCCAAATATTTGAGGTGTAAAAATTTCAATATCCATCCACTACTGTATTTGTATAACGTTGATTCACGATTTTCCAAGTAGTTTTTTTTTATTTTTGAGGGTTTTCGCATTGGTTCCAGGAGATATCTTATCACTCGATACGCGAGGATACAACTCACATGATCAACCACACTAGACTGTCTGATCTAAAGTATACAGAAAACGTTGTACTGCCAAATCCATCGCGACGAGACTGTACCCTGGCGTTGTATGATGGCTTGCATGCCTCCATGACCATGCGAGCTATACAGGATGGCTCCTCACAGCCGCAGATCCAATCGTGTCTGGAATGTCAACGGGTAGAGGCTAGACAAAGCTCAGTCTCACAATGGCCAGCTGCTTGGGCACCTCCTGGCTTCCTTCTATCCACACCCGCCCCTGGCGAGCTCAATCCAGCAAATAAACACGGTGAGGAGCAGTTTACCGATCAAAATACCCCGCTAGGTGGACGTAGGAGCGGGTTATCTGGGGCTTTTTCTCGACGGTGGGAGGTCTTCACACTTCACTGAACATCTACCACCCGCCCAAGCTGGGCACCCACCATCCCATACGGTGCTGTCCCGTTCACGTTCCGTTTGTCTCATTGGGTGCATGAGGCCAAGCGCAGATCCTGCCAAGCGAACTGTCAACCAACGCACCAGCGAACAAAACACTGAACCGAAATGCAAAGGCCTTGTGTGATAGACCTCCAGAAACTCACACACAGGTGGTTCGCTCACGCACCCGCTTTGGATCTACGCCCCACTGCCTTGTGGGTCAGATTTTTGAGTCAAAGGCTCCGGTTAGGGTTCTCAAAGAAAAACCCCTTCATCGGTGTGGGAAACCGCGTCGTATGCCGTGCCCAAAACTCTTAGGTACCCATTTAGAAAACCATCTTTCTCATTTGTCCACTTCCTCTTCTCACTCCCATACCTCAGGAGATGCCTCCTGTTTACGCCATCCATCGGCTATCATTCAGTGTTCAACTAATGAGGCCAACCACTTAGCGGCTATCAGAATTTTGAAGCCCAAATCTCCTCTTCACTTAGCCGCATTTAATGTCCGCACACTACCAGGTCGTTCAACAAGCTGCATTCACTAGAACACTTGAAACCTATTTGGATGTATGCTGTGTCTCCGAAACACGCATACAAGACCCGACTTCAATCACTATCTTGTGATCTCCAGATCCAACCTCATCCTCACACTTCACTCTCCATGTGTCAGGCG